ATTTTGTCACAAAAGAGTGTTGCGTTTTGGGGGCTTCAGAAGTAGTACATTCCAAGGTGGAAGAATGCCTTGATTCACCAAATGGAAGTGGCTATAGGAGCCCGAGTTATATATGTAAAACAACGGGGAGGGGCTCCACAGGGCCGAGCTCTCTAGTTGCTAGGTGGCGCCCCTCAGCCAACTGCCTTTTTCCGGGGGGTAGTCGGTGCGTGGTCCTTGGAGTCGCCCAACAATTTTACAGAGAGGTACAAGGCAATATTACTAACGTTAGGGGTTTCTTGTGATGAGCAGTCTCTAGGATACTAAGATTCTGAATCCGTATTGCTTTCAGAAACATCTGGTGCCGCTTCTCCCAACACATGTGATTTCGATATGAATGTACCACAATATTGCTGGATCAAGTTCGAGGCATCGCTGAGATCAAGACGCCATATCTCTGATGCTTGGGGAACCTTGGAGCAAGAAAATCTCGTCGTCAAGGGCCGAAGGTGCTCAGCCTCACTCAAAACAACCACTCGAGAAGTCTTGGCCTTCCGAGAAGGGAGTTGGATACTGTCCCCCGACTCCAGAAAATGAAGCCTGCCTTCGAGCCACACCATATCGATATACTTTGCAATGATCGGAACACCTGAATAGTTTCTCGAAGGTGCAAGTGATTCCGAATGTCTAACTGCGTCATAGATGGAGCGAAGCCCGTCAACTCGATCCTGCCAGATACAGCAACTGGTCGTCAGCCGATCATCGGGGCGAATCTGGTAGTTGTGAACAGTGGATGAGGCGGTATCGCATATCTGGACCGCGGTCTGCAGCTGGCAAACGCATGGAGGGCAGTATACGTAAGTGATGGCGAGTGGGAAGAGAACGTTGACGACCCTTTGCTCGGGAAATAAGTCGTTCAAGACGAAGGATCCTCCAAGATCTTCCAGCTCACTCCGTAAATCATCGGCCAGGTTGAAGATATCGTCAACCCGTCGCGGTAGTGAGTGTGCTGAATCGTAGACGGACGCATGACTATATGGCCATCGGAATGGCGAGGCCCTCGTTATTTGCCGGCCCAAGCTGGGCATGTCGCAAGGATCCTGCGTCGACGACTTCAAACAAACCCTCGTCAAGACAGCCACAGAAATTGGCGATGTGTCCTTCACCTCGTCAATCAAGTCGTCTACTACAAATGCATTAGCAATGTATTTGGTACTCGAGTAACGTTATCTAAAGATCCCAACTTACAGGTACGTGATGTTTGGTGTCGACCATTGTCTTCAGTAGTAAGGCCTGACAGGTCGGCAACATCGCGGTCAAATGCTCGGCTAGCAGCTGTTCCGGGCTCAGATGCGCTGATAACTGAGCTGGCGACGGCGGACCAAGCGCGGTAAGAGTCTTCAGTGGCAGCTTCAAAGAGGCGTAGTTCCTCCAAACTGGTCAAGCACTCGACATTTTCCTCGACAGTATTGTTGAGTACTTGTGTCACGTGCGGCACAAGCACGTAGAGGCCATCGACTAGATCCTTCAAGTGGTTGATCAAACCCTGGAAGAGTTCTTTCCTGTATATGCTCCATTTGGTCCTTGCTAGAAGGCCGTCTCGTCTTGGCAGGGCGGATGAGTTGCGTACGAAGAATCGCCTCCAGGATGTTCGGAACACGGCCATGCTGCTTGCGCTGACAAAGTCGATTTCGCGCTGTCCTGGGTGATGTTGCTCCACCACGCCACAGTCTCTTGTGAGATGCTCTGCATCAGCGAGCACAGACTCGATGCTTTTGAGACATCGGCCAATGAGTTGACAAGCCGCTTCGTCGTTGATAATCGAATTTTGGGCGGGACCAGAGTGAGAGGAGGTGGCGTCAAAAATGCCAACTGCGTTTCCCCATACAAGCAACCTGGTTTTCTCGATGTCGAGTTTGACGAGTAGAATCTGACTGTCTCTTTCCATCCTTTGCGATGCTTTGAAATAGCCGAAGCAGTCGACGCAAGAGCTGAAGAGCGCTGCCAGGCCAATGGCGCCCAGAACCTCTCCCACTCCGGCCATGACGTGCAGCACCTTGAGCACCGTTGGTTGGCAGCTCTTGTGAAATTCTCGCAATATAGGTACCCAAAGGAAGGTGAAGTGGTGCGGTGATTCTTATACCAAGTTCCCCAGGCATATTCACCTGATGCACGCCGATAAGATACATGTACTGGACTGTACATAGGTACCTTTCCTGCATGACATTGTTGAGTATGCCTTGGGCTTGCAGTGGCTTGCACAGCCATCTTCACAAGGGTTCCCACAGGCGCAAGTAGCAATTTCGAACTTTGGGGTTGATTCCAGCTTACGTACCTCACCTCGAGCCCACCTACCTTGGTCAGTGGCGGTTTCCGCAGCCCTCGGTTGCGTTGGCGTACTACCGGTATCGATTGTCGAATCTGCCTGGCGCCTGCCAGCCTGGCAGTGAACAACACATGTGGCTGCGGCGCAGCATTGTGCTTTCGTCCCATATGGAATACACCCTCTCCAGAGGTATGTATGTGCTTTCGATGAGCAAATGATACTGGAATGATCTGCGAAATGTAGGGAGTACTGCCTCCGGGATGTGCGCTGAGTGTGGATTCCTGCGTACCTTTCTACTCCGTACTTATATTCGGGCATAGGAATCTTATAGAGACTGGGTTAGGGTTATCGCAGGCAGGTCTGAGCCGAGCCCTGAGCAAGTGTGAGCGGGGTCACGTGCTGGAATTATTTTGTACGTACGGAGATGGAAACCCCGTTCACCCAGATTCGTTCCTCTCAGATTATTGACTTGGACAAAACAAATCAACCCTTCTTCCCCATCGCCACCCTCAACGCCAAATTCTCAACACTCCTCACCCGGCCATCTCTCCCGATCTCAAACACAAACTGATCCAGCGGATACGTCCCATACGTGACACCCGTTAGAGACACCCACGTGCCACAATCAGTCGAGAACATCGAGTCCGGCCTGCTCGGTAGATTCAAATCCTCAAAAACCCCCTTAAACGCCACCCTCTTACTCCCATCTTCCCTCACCGTCTCCAGCCCCGTCGGATACAACCTAATACTCGGGTCCACGGGCTGATACCCCGCCGACAGGACTACCCCGACCAATTTCATATCCGTCCCGTTACTAATCCAACTCTCCACCCCCAACCCGGGTCTATCGTTCTGCGTAGTCAACCGTATTGACGAATTACCCGCCGAGTAGGTGTACTCGCCCGCGTACCGTGCATCAGCCTGCTCCCTGGCAGCCGCCTCCAGCGCAGGGACCATGTGCGTCCCGACAAGGTCGGCAAGATTCCAGTTGGTGTTGCCCGGTATGTTTGGCCCTGCAACAAGAATGGACAAGCCCGCGTCGTAGTCCGGTAGCAAGATGAGCAGTGAGGCGTAGTACCCGATGCGGCCGGCCTTGTTGTACGCGTCCACGACGCGCTTGCCGTTGGCGCCGTATGATGACAGTGGGATCCGACGGACACCCCACGGGTAGCCCACCCCTGCTATCAGTTCCGAGGAGTAGGATGCGGGTTTCAGCCAGCGTCGGGTTAGGGATGGTGGAATCAGGTCGGAGCGGAGGATGGCGCGGCCGAGGGCGGAGATGTCGGCGATGGAGGAGAACATGTTCCCGGCGCTGTATTGGTGGTTGTAAGTCCAAGTGGTCTTTTTTTGGGAGGCGGAATCAAGGGTGTGTACTCACGGGTTTTCGTCGCCAAGCTGGTAGTTCCATCCTGCTGCGGACAGGTTGCCGCCAGGGATGATGCCCACCTCTGCCGGCGCCGCGGTGTAAAACGTGTGGTTGAGGCCTAATGGGCGCAGGACGCTCTCCTGCATCATCGACTCAAAGCTTTTGCCCTTGATGCTTTCAAGGGCGTATGCAAGGATTTGAAAGCCCGTGTTGGTGTATGCCGGCGTGGTAAACGGGGCGTAGGACGGAGGTGCCTGGAGAAGGCCGCGGAAGAATTTTGATTTCCGTCAATACCTTGCATAGCTCTGCCCTGGAAGCCTGTTCGCCCATACCAGTTCGATTGCACAACGGCCAGGCCCCGCACGGCGGCAGCGTCGGGTCGGAGCTGTTCAGGGGTGGGAATCCTAGGGCCGCGAGCATGCTCCCGTTGAACTGCTGTGTCGTTTCGCCCATCACGGCATCTAACCTCAATCAGAAACTACATTCTGCTCACTCTTATAAGAACGCCGGACGCTCACAGTCTCGTATAGCCCCTGACAACTGTCCCGCCAGTGACCCGATCGTCACCTCGTCCCACGGGACATTCCCCACAGGATCTAACTTCGCTCTTTCCGCCGCCGCCGCGAGTTCTGGCACATACTTCGTAATCGGTTCGTTCCATTTCGAGTCCCCGTCTTGCACGAGCCATGTGTAGATGGTGAAGGTCTTAGTCAGGCTGCCGAGCCGGTACACCGTGTCGGCTTCGACCTTGGTTACGCCCACGGTGGCGTTGCCGCCGTCGGTAGCTGTGAGAGAAGATGCTGTGTGGTGCCAGCTGAATATCACCGGAGTCTCTTGGCTCGTGCTCAACACCTCGATGCTGTAGCTTGTCAAGTTCGCGAGGACAGAGGGTGAGTTGTCTTGGTCTCGCGCTCGGAGGGTCTCGGTCAGGTTGGCAATGGCGGCACGTATGGCTCCGCTCCTGGCAAAGTTGCGTGGTGGTTCAAAGGTCGGACCCAGCGGAGGGCAGTTAGGCGCCGCCAGGCCGGCTGTGGCTGCGGTGAGGGCCACCAGCAGGAGATGCCCCGTTGCCCACATGGTTCCTCCTGTGTACTAATACTCCCTCCAGGTGAAGCTCGGGCTCGCCGGATGATGCTACCGAGGGTATTCAAGCTATTATGATCAGGAGTTCCGAGGTTTTCGCCAAGGTGCTGCCGCTATCTTATAGAGTGACCTTCCTCAGCTTGACCTGGTTACACCGGGCCACCTGTCCCTTGCATCAGTTATGGGTAGTATCGTGCGGCAGCCACGACGGCAGTCTTCCGACTGACGAGAATCCTGTCCCCGCAGCTGCGTGGTTGGTCAAGGCATGCATTCTCTCTCTTGGCTGGTCATCTCCGGAGGTCAGGGGTATAAGCTCCGACCAGAATAGCAAATCTGGTGCAGGCATCCGGGCTTTTGGAAATGCATACAGATCTGGCCAGCCAAGGCTGCCCTGAATACAGCACATCCATATCATTTACAGCTTGCTAATGTCCATGACACTGAGCTGCACCTTGTTGGTAGTGCTGGGCGGCAGCTGGCCGGCGCCCATGATGAGCAGCTTGGTCGGGTCGTTGAGCACGCGCAGATGCCTCGTGTAGGCATTCTTCTCGGGGGTTGCGACCCTCTTCCAGGGCGTGCCGGCCTCAGCCAGGCCCGTGTTGACGTACATGTCGCCCGAGCTGTGCGCGCTGACAATGATGGTTCCGTTCTTGCCGCCCACGGGGCTCCAGACGACGTACGGCGAGCCCGTGGGGATGTAGCCGTCGGTGGTCTTGAGCGAGATGCCCGTGGCCTCACCAAACTTCTCCGGGTTGGACACAACCTTGTAGTAGACCGGGAACTGGTACGAGGTGGTGATGGCCGGCCCGCCGCCGTACTCGTAGGCCATGATGTACTTGCCGTTGGGCAGGCGGGTGACGGTGGGCATGCCGGGGCGGTCGGTGTAGGTCGGGTAGGTGACATCGTTGACGACTGGGCCCCAGGTCCTGAGGTCCTTGCTTGTCTGGTGGACCATCTTCTGGCCGTAGGTCGTGTTCTCCCGCTGGTCCGAGTAGTAGCAGATCATGGTGTTCTTGTACTTCATGAGGAACGGCTCCCAGACGGGCGTCAGGCCGTTGTTGGGGATGGCGACGCCGCCTGCTGCGATGTGCGACACAAACTTCCAAGTCACGCCCCGGTCGGTGGAGGCGTAGAGGTCGATCTGCGTGCTTGACAAGTCTGTGGGAATGGAGCTGCCAGCAAGCAAGACGGTATCCTTGGGAAAGCCAGCAAAGGCTTCATCGAGAATATACAGGAACGGCTGATACCGGAGTCCATAGCCCTGGGCCTGGTCTTGGACGCGCGAGATCTCTTTCCAGTTGTACCCGCCGTCGGTAGACTTGTAAATGGGGAAGTACACCGGGGGAGGCTCAGGGCTATAGTTCTCCCATGTCGCCAGCAGGGTACCGTCTTTGAACTGGGCAGTGCGAGCGTAGAGCACACGCGGATCCGTGTAGTTGTCTGGAGGCGTGAAGACGACGCGTTGCGCAAAGGTTGCTGGCGCGTCTTGCTTCTTGGGCGCAGCCGCGACGAGAGGGAGAAGAGTGAACAAGACGGTCGACCACTTCATCCTGACGGGTAGTACGGAAGGCGTGACCGCGGAGGCTCAAAGGACATGGTGGACGATGAAGCTGCTGAGCACACAGCTACTGGTAAATATAGACAATGTTTTGTGACGTCCACAAACCTCGGTAGCCGTTCCCGTTCCTGGAACCCGCCGGAACGGAACACAACTCTTTTGGATGTTGGAACTGGGACGAGTTCCACACTTTCTCCGGGGCCCCGCCATTGCCACGAGCACAACCCTCGACATTCATTTGCGCGGATATGGGGTGCTGGGGAAAGTCTGGAGAATTTGTGGGGTTACCATCGTGAGTAGGGTTATGGAACACCGTCAGATTTCGAACGCCCCAGCCAAAGGACCCACAGAGTTTCCTGAGCAACCAATGAATGCCAGGTAAAGTGGGCCCTGTTCCATGTCTGACGGTGTTCCACAACCCTACTTACAATGGTAGCGGGCAGACTGTCCATTTGTGGCAGTGCATCACTCGGTACCAACAATACACCGAGGTTATGCGTCAAATGGTGGCTTTGGGCGTCCGGAATGCTACACGTGTAGAGCTCAACTCCGCTCGCTGCTAACATCCATTGCCCGGCCCTCGTCGTTTCTCGTCATCCATGGCGCACCTGCTTCCTAACGTCTCTATGCTATGGAATCCATGTGTATTATATGGTTCATACGGTATTCGTGGTTAAGGTAGGTATGCGTCATGTCGCCGCCAATAGCTACCTACGTAGCATGTATCATCGCCCCAAGGTAACGGTTGTTAGTGAGCCTACCGTAGCTGTCGCTTATCGCTTTAGCAGCTTCGGCAGTCGCGACTCGCGACGCAGCCCATTTGTGGAGTTTTAGTGTTGTGGGACTTCCTTGGCGTACCTTATTCAAACCAGTGCCGAGCCCAGATTCTCGCTCATTTTTCCTTCCACATCCACTGACAGGTTGACACATGATGAATACCTCCGTACAGGTTACGTACCACCACCTCGCTTGCTCTGTGATTCCACGCCCTAGCCGAGGCTCGGCGCACTCGAGCAAGGCCGCTTAGAGCACTGAGTCCAGCGGGACCACCGCCCACAATCACAGCATCATAGTTGATTGGTATCTGCCGGGGAACAACAGCGCTTCTTGCCAGCGGGACAAGTGCTGCTGACACTAGGGCACGCAAGAAGCGCATCATGTTGGCGAACTGAATCGTCAAAGAAGGAGGGCGGGGAAAGTAAGTGAGACGGATGAAGCAACGGAGAGGAGCAGGATGCTACACCCCTGACTGAAGTCATCCCTCGAGAGACCTTCAGCAATATATACCCATATGTAGGTAGAGCTAATGAGCATTCTGCCCGCTCTGTTGTGTAACTACGATGTTGGGTCTGTCAATGATCGGCCACCGGACAGGGCAGATCGCCACGGGAATTTCCGCTGGATCTTACGTGGGCACCAATGTCGACGTGGTGATCACCAGCTGATCAGCAACCTAGAGACAGGCGGATGCTTTATATTGGCGAGCAATCCAGATTTATCGTGCGTCTGTCTTGCTTAGTCCTTGGTAGGCATACCGATCTCTGAGACATACTTTTTGCGGATGACAACACGCTGATACTACCGGTACTCTACAAAATATCAGCAGAGCGCGAAACATTTTGGCGTTGGATCCTTACTTGTGCACCTACGAAAATCGTTCATGACATTCAAGTTCTCTATCGGCCCCTTCATTCCTGTCCTGGATCTGGCCAGCAAACGATGAGACTCAACCGTTCTTCCAACATGATAGAAGCGGCCCTAAATACCGCTCGATCTGGTTGATACTGGCAGCTAGCCACTCGCCAGTTACGAAATCTGCATATCAATGCATGTTCCCGCCCAATAATAATGCCATGCCTCAGTTCAACGCCTTAGGTACCTGAACCAGCTGGCAACCCCACGCTCCTGTCACCCCTTTGACATCATATGCTCTTTTCTACGTCTTTCGGGTCTTAGCTCGCTTCCAGCACTGCACGATGAGCCCTGTGGTTGAGCTGTTGAAGAGCGATAGCTCGGCTTCCATGTAGCTCCCATTACCGCAGTGCTGAAGCAAATTTGCAGGTTGAGACCAATCACTACTTTGAAGACCTCGAAATCTTGCTTCATATAATTTTGTGCTCGTGGTCATCGCTGGAGTGTTGCCTTTGCGGAGGAGCTAGCGACTCGGGCGTGGCCGTCAGGGTGGGAGGTTAGGGTTGTCCATCGGGACATGCATAATAGTTGCTCGCGCCAGGGGAAGCAGAGAAGAAGTAGAGAAGATGAGAATGTACGGCGCCTTTTTGGCGGAAGTGTGCCAAAACCTCAAAACCACAAAAATTTTTATTCGCCCACACTAGGGTAGGCTTTGGAAAGCTTACGGTTTTGCAGCATAAAT